TCTCCCTCCTCTCTCTCTCTCTCTCTCTCTCCCCTCTCTCGCTCTCCCCTCCTCTCTCTCTCTCTCTTTCTCTCACTCAGACCCCCGTTGTTTCGCTGACACGCGTAATTGCTTTAGCGACACCTGCGCGCCGTATCTTTGCCGCTGTGAACGACAGTTACGACACTGGTGACAACGGTGACAACCCGGGCGACCGCCGCCTCGTACGAATGTCGTTATCGGCTGTGACATTCATTACTGCGGTGACAATTGTCGCAGACGCGCGACCGTCTTGCGTGAGACAAATATTTCACACTTAGTTAAAAAAAATGGCGGGAATTGTTTTGGCCGTCCTGCGTGTGACAAATATTTCACACTTAAGGTAAAGAAATACGACGGGAATTTGTTTTGGCCGACGCGTGCGTGCGTGCGCCGTCGTCTGTCTGTCGGACGTCGGCTGCCGACGGAATTTACCGTCGGTGATAATGTCGTCGACGGCGGCGGCGGGACTTTGAGCGGCCGACGCGTTGTTTACGGCGTCGCTGAAGTCATTTGTCATCGCGTGTGCCGACGACGCCGTCAGGCGACGTGAGACGACGTAAGGCGTGCGCGTTTTTAGTTCTAAAATGATCGCTTTCTCTCTTGCTCTCTCTCTCTCGACTATGACAATTCTCTCCTATATATGTGTGGTCCAATAATAGCCTCACCGTATCTGTGCGATCACACACACACACACACACACACATATATATATTATATATATATATAGCGTGACGTTTTACAAAGGCAATCACACCATCCCAGCCCCTAATAAAATGGAAATTTTTCACAAGCGTCGCTTTTGTTTGTTCCCAATCATTAGCTCAGCGTTAATAGAACCGGTGTGGAAACAATTAAAACGTTGGAACATATATTTTTTATTTTCTACGCTCACTCCCAACGCACCCCCAACGTACAGGCCCACGTGCGCGCGGCTCTCTAAATCGTCTCTATCTATCATCTAACTAATTTATCTAAGCTATCTATCTAATCTATCTATCTATCTAATCTTTAATCTCATATATCTATCTATCTATCTATCTAGATCTATCTACCTATCCTATCCTACTCTATCTATCTGAATCTATCTATCTATCGTGTCTATCTATCTACTATCTATCTATCTATCATTTACTATCTATCTATCTATCTATCTATCTATCCTCATCTATAATATCTATCTACTATCTACTCTATCTATCTAATCCTATTTATCTTATCATATCTAATTTAATCTATCTATCTATCTGTTCATGTCTGTCTGTCCTTGTCTGTCTGCTGGTCGTCTAGTCTGTCTGTCTGTCTGTCTGTCTGTCTGTCCTGTCTGTCTGTTCTGTATCCTAATCTATCTATTTAATCTAATCTATTTACTATATATATATATATATATCAATCTATCTATCACTATCTCTCTTTCCTCTTTACCTCCGTACCTCTCCCCTCTCCCTCTCTTCCTTCTCTTCCCTCTGTCCCTTTCTTCACTCTCTACCGCTCCCCTCTCTACCTCTCCCCTCCCCCTCTCCCCTCTCCTCTCTCTCTCCTCGGCCCGAACGACGTTGCCCTATTAAATATAATATAGGCACAATCGGGGCCACCGGTCAGGTTTAATGGCTTAGAGTCACATGCCCCGCAGCTGTTTGTAAAAGCTTAATCGCAATAGAGGAAGCGCTGGTAGACTTATGTGCGCGATAGGTGGCCGTAATTGGGATAACAGCACTGGCAGACAGTCGTCGGGCAATTCAAAGGAAGGAAGGGAAAAGCGAGAGAGAAAGAGAGAGAGAGAGAGAGAGAGAGAGATAGAGAGAAAGAGAGAGCGAGAGATAGAGAT